AGGGGGGCGCAAGGGGGTTCAGTTACACTGTATATATAAGGCAAAATTTGGTTTTTATCTCTATATATTAAGTTTTGAACCCCCTTAACACAATCCAAAAGTGTAGTTTAGTGGTTAAGGGGGTTCAAAATTTTCATAAGGTCACAGGTTCAATTCTCACTAGCTACAAAAACTTTTTTTGAACCCCCTTCGTTGAGATCCTGCCTCCGCCACTGCCTAGTATAGAAGTTGCTTTTGTTCTTTTATGAGTCTTTATTTATGCCCCTTACTACGCGATGATTGTTTTAAGACGTAACGTTTTGCCTACTTGTATTTGATAACCATATGGGCATGTGTTAACATTTCACAACTTGTGTTTGCTGCAGATACTTGAAGAAGAGGGAACTTTTAGGGGACCTCCGCTGTCAAAGGAACCATGGTTAGCACTTAGGCTACCTCCTGCAAGTCCTTTTGATAACTTCCTTAGAGCAGCTAGAGGTTAAATGCACGCAACCGGTCTGTTTAGTTGTAAATGACAAGTAGCTCTACTGGTGACTAGTAGGTTTAGCTCAGTCTTTTACTTAGTTCTAACCCTGGAGCTGCCACGCCTGAATGTATTGAGTACTCTATGTTAGTGTTTGTTTAACCAAGTTTGCTGGATCATTGTTTGTAAAGTGCAGTATGACTAACGCATTTCTGGCTGTATCTAGTTCTAACTTGTATTATTATGTAACTGGCTTTAAGACTGCAGCTCCTCAATATGTTCTGCAACCCCCCACCCCGGGCGTGCTTTCTGGTGCTAGATTATGTACATGTACATGTCCTCTATTTAGTACTGTATGCGCCCAAAATAGGATAATAACGTGTTTGCATAATTATTTTAATGATATTTTTGTTATTTCAAAAATGTAGTATATTATATAGGAATGCTCAAATGTCCGCGTAAACTCTCGTGCTCGTCATTAGTACTCATTATCCATTAATTACTATCATTTCACTCAAAATATCGTGAAGGGTCAACTTATAATTACTAGGAACAATCATATATAAAAGAATGATATATAACCAATGCATGTACTTCTGTCAATTAATCATTGTGTCTCAATGTTAACACCGAAATAATGAAATTTCAACTACATATATGATATCTTTAAGATTCAGGCAATAACTTCGAGATTCGTATCTCTAAGTCATGAAAAATATAAACTGCTAACCATAGAATAACAATTCGTTTTAAAGAAATAAGCAAAACAAATCAGAGAGGATAATACAATGCTGTTAGTGCAAAGAATATTGTAGTAACGTGCACGATGTGACATATGGCAAATGCTACCAAATTTATAAATTTGAACAATTTCATTGTATGCACGTACTCTCAACCATTAAGAAACCTTTGACTTACAAACAAATGTGCTGCTGTATTTAAGGACCTTATCGTTGTATTTGTTTCGTGGGTATGAATAAAATTTGAGGAGAAATAACGAAAATTGTTATAAAACAATAAAAGAAGAAGAGTATTGTAGAGAAAAGTAGAGGGAGAGAATTCTGAGTATTGTAGAGAAAAGTAGAGGGAGAGAATTCTTATTGATTTGGGATGAATTACAATGGAATAGAACCCTCTATTTATAGGGAGAGGGTGACTTAGCCACCAAGTAATAAATCCTAGAATCTCTCTAAATATAGACATTCACCATAAATAAAATTCTATTTATAACACTCCCCCTTGAATGTCTATTCAACAGATAATGTGCCTCGTTAAAACCTTAACTAAAATAAAACCCAGTGGGAAAAAATTCTAGAGAAGGAAAAAGAGTACACATATCTAACCATACGCCTTTTGGTTGCCTCCTTAAAAACCTTGCAAGTAAAACCCAGTGGGACAAAACCTTGTAAGGGAAAAAGAGTACAACGCGTATTAATTCCCCCTCATGAGAGCATCACTTCACATCCTTAAGCATTTGCATTCCAATCTTGTGCACCAACTTCAAAAGATCTTTGGTAGAGATTTGAAGAACAAATCAACCATATTAACTTGAATGAATATATTGCACCTTGAAATCATCATTCTAGATAGAGATGGATTGTCTTCATTTGATCTTGTTGGAATCGTCAGTTCAATATCTTCACATAGAGGTGAAAACTCTTGCTATCATATTATCGTGCATATAGTTATAGCAAGATACATTTGTGCACAAATTGCATTGAGGATGTAGTACTTCATGACCATGAATTCTATATGCTTTAAGCAATTTAAATCCTTCAGGGATTGTTAAGTTATATAAGCCATATAATAGACTTTAGATGCATATCAAGTTTTCATGTCATGCTAGACATATAAGATATCGAAAACTGAATGCACATATCATTGGCTTTATACTTTTAAGTGTTTGAACTATAGGTCCAAAACAACATGTCGTTCATATGAAACCAATTCTACTTGAATTGTTTCTCTAGACTTAAGATCCTCATATATCTTTAGAGCTATTATAGATGTCGTCGACGAACATTTTATATCAGTTTCAATATTTTTTCATAAAGACATAACATAGAGATCTCTTCATTCATATTTTTAGGTACCTGAATCCCTCTTGAGATTTTATGAAGTGTTATGTCATATAATCTTCTAGATCACTTGCCTCCTTTATTATGATCATTTTGATCATTTGTTCACCTTCTTTATCAAGAAGTTTATTTGAAACCGATCTGTCTTTACGCTTTAAGCGTACCATATACTTTGTCCTTCTAGGACTTATTATAATATGAGCATTTGCAGTGAGAATATAGTTACTTTCTTTGGGTCAGCAAATGCATCTGGCATGCTTTGCAATAAATTACACATGAATTATCTTTTTATGAACTTCAAATTCATATTATTTTATTCGAGGATCTAGATGTACAAATGATAATTCATTCCATTTAACTTTTTCTCAACTGTTGTATTTTGTCTCCCCCTCATGTTAGAAAAACTAACTTGTTTCCTCAACTTTGAGAACCCATCTTGTGCGTTATGGTGTTAATCAAAATATACACTGCACATCAATGATAATAAGATGGAACTATTTGGTTCCTGACCATGAACCACTTGTGAGGGGAGAAAATAATATACTTTCGTATATAACGTATATCAAACTGATATACAAAACTTTTTTCTCATAAGCAATTGTTTAGCTATTAAGTGGAGGCACTCAATAAATCATTTTGCTAAACTAGCTGTGATGCAAACCAACTTATCAAGATGAACTTCTTGAATAGAAAATCTGGAATATGCTCTAAATTAAATTGTAGAGCAAGTTACCTTGCAAACACCATGTTGCGGGTTAATAATAATCGCACATGTAGCCATCTCATAGATGCGTCTTATGTGGTATACATGGCAGGTGAATGGGCTCATATTCACCTTTGATATTTCCAGCATTCATGGGATTGAATCCCAATTTTAGTTGATCTATTAATTAATGAGAACATGCAACATAAGAGAATTCGTAAAGAACTTTCTAGTTCTTTAATATTTACCCATGTGAATTCTCTTTTGTTTTTGCACATCATACTTAAATTGATATGGGTAAACCGATTATGCCAACTGAATAAATTATCAACATTGATAAACTTCAGATTTATACCATGACGTGTGCAATTATCAATAAACTCCAAGTTTATTATGATATGGGTTTTTATATCAATAAACATCCACTTTATTGTGGTATTCTTTTATTTGTGCAGTACAAACTAGAGAATAAAGCGGGTAGCTTTTCACATACATATTACCCCGCTACAAGTTGTAGTAGTAGAAGATATTAATCTTTCCTTTATTTATAGTCTCAGTATGACCAACCGCTTTCGCGAGCACTTTAGAAACTCAATAAGTTTCTTTGAGACTTACTACAACACAACGTCTTATTGATAATCAATTTTCTCCAAAATAGTATAATTGGCTCTTCTAGAGCTCTCAATTAATTTTGTACTACCACATATTCATCAATATCCATATGGTGAATATCTCTTTTAAAGAGAAAGTTATACCATTATGGTTATGGTCAAAATTATATGCAAGATATGTTTCTTGCATTAATGTTATTCTTTGATAATCACATTACCAAAATATTTTAGCGTGCAATAGGTACGTGACCAATGACCATTCATGCCATAATAATGACATTGATTTCTTATATCATCTCAAACCTCCTTCTAGAGGTGAGTGTGGTATATTCACTACCACTAGCACGTTCATATTCTTTCAAGAATGAATATGTATTCATAAATCAGATGTTGTCACATTCACATCATGAATTGATCATAGTCATCTGTATGTGCTTTATAAAATCTCATGTCAATTCGATGACAAATATTACTTTCACAGAGTGAAGGATTATTTTGAGAATCCTTATTATTCTCATTATCACAATGATGGCGATTATAATTTTGTCTATTGCCACGTCCACATCCATTGATACATCATAGTGATAATTTTGTCTTCTTTCAGACTTATCACATACTGTTATCACATTCTCTTAAGGGAATGAGAATGGAGCAAATTCAATGGGACGGGTTTTCACTTTTTGTGCCCATAATCATACATGAATTTGATCATGGCAAGACATAGAAATTTTACCACTTCAGGTGGTTATAATTTCTTACAAACTCCATTAGAGTTGTAATCAAAATTTATTGTCTTTGCTTGTATTTAAAATTAAATTATAGAATAAAGAGAAAAATACGGTAAAATACTTATCTTAAATCCAGAATTTAATCATGAAGGAAATTCATAGAACAATTGACAATCATTATGATCAATCTCAAAGCTTCTACTCAATTGATTAGAGTCTCGTGCTGATAACGTGTTATAAAACAATAAAAGAAGAAGAAGAGTATTGCAGAGAAAAGTAGAGGGAGAGAATTCTTATTGATTTGGGATGAATTACAATGAAATAGAACCCTCTATTTATAGGGCCACCAAGTAATAAACCCTAGAATCTCTCTAAATATAGACATTCACCATAAATAAAATTCTATTTATAACAAAAATGAAGTTCTTCTCTTGTATTTTTCTGTTGTTAAGTCTCTTTGTCTCCATTGTTATTGCTATAGTACTATTCCGGCAGTTTTTGTATACGGCCGTTTTTGTGTTCGGCGACACTGTAATTGATACAGGCAACAACAACTGGTTCCACACGCTACAACATGGGAAGAATTTCGAGGGAGGAAAGCCCAATGGCAGATTTTGTGATGGAAAAGTTCCCTCTGACCTTTTTGGTACCAAGATTTTGCCGCTTTAATTTCCTCCTATATCGGGTCATGATATGTGTTTACCTCGAAAAACGTGAGTAACAATTAAATATAATTTATGGTTTTAAAGATATGTGATTTATTCTAATACCAGTGAATATACAAGTTATTTAAGTTATAGTAGGAAGAATTGATGAACCAAACCAGTGTTGTTAGAGCAACGGGGACCTCGAGCTCGATTATCTCGAGGGCCTCGAGGTGAGTTAAGAGCAAATAAAGTATGAACAATAAAGTAAAGACAATAAAGCTGAAGAACAACTGTGGAGCACAGTAAACGAGAAAAGCAGAGTAGAATATTCTATTGCAGTGAATGAGATGATCTTTATAAATGATTGAGGTCCCCTTTATATAGGAGGGGAAAACCCTAATATGGTACATTCCTAATTACGGTAAGGAATTTTATTGGTACAACTGTATAACAACCTAGTACGGACTTGTACTATTTCGTACAAATCTTATCCTGTAATTTACGCCCTGATCCACGTGTCCTTGAGAACTTTCCGCTCTTTCTTGAGTGTCATCGAAATTATACTGCCCCCGAGGTAGATCATGGCAGGTCTCTGATTTGCTCCCTCGAGGTAGGCATTTTCCATTCAGATCTGGTCTCTACTTCGTTCCGCCCGAGCTCGAGCCCGAGGTACCTTTAAGTTCTTGAAATCTGGCTCTCCGGTTTCGGCCGTATACAGATAGTCCCCGCATTTCTTAGAATGAAAAAATAAGAAACGATCTGATTCTCGCCCCTTCGATGTCCCAATCATGATGTCAGTCTAGTAAGGTTAGCGGTCTGTATGACCGAAAGGTCGTGCAAAAGTTACGCCTACACAGTTTTTGAAAAGCCTCTAATGAAGGACGGCTATTGGTCGTCCGTCCAGCTTCTCCAACACGCTTAGACAACCTCTATAAATACGTCAATCCTTCATTCTTCAAACTTTTACTTTTACAGTATCATCAAATCTTCTCTGCACTTGTTCCTTCCTTGTGCCCATTTCTTAACTAGCTCCTTCTTCTTCTGAATTTTCACAACAAAAATGGCAAAAACTTCCAAGACAGTTCCACAAAAAGAGAAAGCCTCTTCGTTTTCACGCCCGTCAAAGGGCAAAATGGTGGTACCTCCTAGCATTGAGGAATGTACCCCCGAGCTTTATGATACGTCTTCCGATTTCAAGGTCGACAAGCCTGCTTCGGTCCCAGGACGATGTGAGCCCATGTCTCGGTATATTCGCTTAATAACCGATCTCAAACAAGTGAAAGCAGATTGTTGTTGGGGAGATGAAGTGCAAGTGGAGATCCCTTCACCTGATGAGGATATTACTACTCACAAAGCGGGGTACCTAAGCGTATACACATACCCATTTACTTTAGGTCCCGTAGATCCTTCTTCGCTCTTTCCAGACCCAGTGATCCTCGATTTCTGTCGACAATACCAAGTGACACTCGGCGAAATTTATCCTTCCTTCTGGCGGGTTGTTCACCTGATTAGGTACTTTTCGAGCAAAGTCGAGGGGATGCCTTTTACCCTCGATCATTTGATCAGATTATACAACTATCACGACCCCAAATACCCCGGTCGTGATGACGCCTATCACAATACTAGGCAAGCCAGCCCAAACAATTAACCACAGTAAATTTCTTTTAATAAGCCATTTTGCTAATACTGATTAAGCTTCAAATTCGCAAGAAAATATATAAATCACTAAGATGTGTGGAAAGACAGTATAACGACAAACCAAACACAGCCCAACCATCTGGTGTCACAAGTCTAGAGCCTCTAAATACAACCAGTCCGACTGTCTAATACATGATAAGTCTAAAATGCAGAAAAACAAGGACAGGAAGGAGGAAAGCAGGGCTGCGGATGCCGTGCAGCTACCTTGCAGTATCCGAGAAGTTCCGACAATGCTGGGAACCCTCACTCTGTCGCGCGGGCACCTGAATCTGCACACAAGGTGCAGGGAGTAACGTGAGTACACCAACTCAGTAAGTAACTAAAATAAATAAGGTCTGAGCGCAGTGACGAGCAGTTAAAAATCATATAAAAGAGTATACAACAGAATATCAAGTCAAACTCAACAATTTAAAAGCCAGTTACTTCGTAAAACTTCAGTTTAAATTGAAATACTTTGAAATCATTTACTTAGCATTTTTCAACAGAGGTCATTATAAAAGGAAGAGTGAAATCAGCAAAAATGTCATAATTGGGCCCCTCGGACAAGGTATCACTCACAAATAGAGCCTCTCGGCCGAGCCTCTCGATCACTCGTGACTCAACTCTCGTCACACAGTACTCACACTCAGCACTCAGGCTCAATAATATCTCATAGTAGTAATAATCATAATAATCACTGCGGCGTGCAGCCCGATCCATAGTTTACAGTCGACTACGCTCACTAGGGGTGTANTAGTCGACTACGCTCACTAGGGGTGTACAGACTCCGGAGGGGCTCCTACAGCCCAAGCGTCATATCGCTGCGGTGCGCAGCCCGATCCAATATATATATCGCTGCGGCGTGCATCCCGATCCATAATATATATATATATATATATATATATATATATATATATATATATATATATATATATATATATAATCCTCACGAACAATAAAAATACCCCTAAGGGTCTCAACAGGTCGGCACAAGGCCCCAAACATGGCATAAAACCCATAATATAGTATAAATCTCTAAAATACGTGATATAATAAGATTTCAAATCAAGTACGCGGCTTAATAGTCGCTACGGGACGGACCAAGTCACAATCCCTATCGGTGCACGCCCACACGCTCGTCACCTCATTTATCAAATCAATACGAAATACCGGGATTTTATACCCTCAGTTCCAGATTTACAATGGTTACTTACCTCAAATCGGATGAAATACTACTCCGCGACGCCTTTGCCTCTCACCTCGGCCTCAACTCGCGTCGAATCTACCCAAAATCAGAATCATAACATTAGAATAAGCTAAGGGAACGAAGCTCATGCAAAAATAATCAAATTATACCAAAAATCCCGAAATTGGTCCAACCCGACCTCCGGGCCCACGTCTCAAAATTCGATAAAATTCACATCAATAGACTCCTTATCTCCCCACGAGTTCATACATATCAAAAGTATTAAAATCCGACCACAAATGGCCCCTCAAACCCTTGCTCAAAGGTCTCCAATCTCAAGCCTTAGTTTTCCAATTTTTAACCCTTAATTTCCAAGCCAAATTAGTGAAATAACACCATAGAAACGAGTTTAGGGTCCAAAACCTTACCTCTATGAAATCCCCTTGAAATCCCTCTTCCAATAGCTCCCCCAAGCTCAAACCCGCATGCAAATGGTGAAGAACAACTCAAAAATCGCGAAGGAATTCTTTTATACCTTCTGGCCCAGGTTTTTCGCACCTGCGGCCCAAAATACGCTTCTGCGGCCCAAGACACCGCATCTGTGGTTTTCACTTAACGTCCAAGTTCCGCATCTGCGGTTGATTCCTCGCACCTGCGCTACCGCAGGTGCGCTTCCTTAGCCGCTTCTGCAGTTCCAGCTGATCTTCTTCTTAGCCACACTTGCGGCTGCCTTCCGCTTCTGCGGGCATCGCACCTGCGGCCTCCCAAACGCAGGTGTGGTATGACAGCAGCAAAAAATGCTTCAGCTCCCTAACTCAACTCCAAAATTTCCGTCAATCATCCGAAATCACCCCGAGGCCCCAGGGACCTCAACCAAAAGCACAAACCAGTCATATACCACCATCCAAACTTATACCAATCTTCAAAACACCTCAAACAACATCGAAATAACCAAAACACATCGGATTCAAGCCTAAGAACTCTAAAACTTCCAAATTCCGCTTTTGATCAAAAGGTCTATCAAACCTCGTCCGAATGGCCTGAAATTTTGCACACACATCCCAAATGACACAACGGACCTACTGCAACTCCCAGAATTCCATTCCGACCCCTATATCAAAATCTCACCTATCAACCGAAAATGCCAAAATTCCAATTTCGCCAATTCAAGCCTAAATCTACTCCGGATCTCCAAAACATGTTCCGATCACACTCCTAAGTCCCAAATCACCTCCTGAAGCTATCCGAATCATCGGAATATACATCTGAGCCCTATTTCACATAAGTCAATATCCAGTTTACTTTTTCCAACTTAAGCTTTCTCAAAAGAGACTAAGTGTCTCAAACCTTACCAAAACCTCTCCGAACCCGAGCCAGCAAACACGATAACACATAATACAGCTGAACAAAATAATAAGAAGCAGAAATGGGGAAAATGGAGCGGTAACTCATGAAACGACCGGCCGGGTCGTTACATCCTCCCCCTCTTTAACAAACATTCGTCCTCGAACGAGTCAAGAAACATACCTGAAGCCTCGAATAGGTGAGGATATATTCTCCGCATCTCCCGCTCGGTCTCCCAGGTAGCCTCCTCCACGGGCCGACCTCTCCACTGCACTTTCACTAAAGCTATACCCTTTGACCTCAACTTTCAAACCTGCCGCTCCAAAATAGCTACTAGCTCCACATCATACGTCAGATCATCATCTAACTGAACCGTTCTGAAGTCAAAAAGATGAGACGGATCCCCAACATACTTCCGGAGCATAGAAACATGAAACACCGGATGCACACCCGACAAGCTGGTTGGCAAGGCAAGCTCATAAGCCACCTCCCCAATCCTCCGAAGTACCTCAAAAGGCCCAATGAACCGAGGACTCAATTTACCTTTCTTCCCGAATCTCATAACACCCTTCATGGGTGAAACCTTCAATAGAACCTTCTCACCCACCATGTAGGACACATCCCGAACCTTCCTGTTAGCATAACTCTTTTGTCTCGACTGCGCTGTACGAAGCCTCTCCTGAATCACCTTCACCTTGTCTAAAGCATCCCGCACCAAGTCTGTGCCCAATATTCTAGCCTCACCTGGCTCAAACCAACCAACTAGAGATCTACACCGCCTCCCATACAAAA